ATCTTAAAATGAAAATTACTATGCATGTTGGATAGGCAACATGCAAAAAAGAAAAAGGCATAAGAAAAACATTGCTTTTAATAACAAAAAATCTGATATTTTGCATATGAAAGCATTGTAATGTTTACTGATTATCTGCCAAATTTTGTGAACATATGCTTACTAATTTAAAAGTTGTAGCATGAAAGCTATAACAAGTACAAAATGGTTACGAGGTGGGTCCCAGGGACTGAACCTGTGCTGAAAGAGTTAAATTGAGAGTAGCACTTCCAAATGTGTACAATGCATGTGAATAGGCAAGGCTGCTGATTCTTTGCTGTTACTGATAAACTATTTTAAATTTTAATTTTGAAAAATAAAAAATCCTACTTTTTGTTTAATAAACATTAAACGAGAGATCACCTATGCTGTTTGAAGATTTAATGTTTCTATACATATTTGATAGCTAAGAATCCAGTTAAAGGTGCTTGGAAAACACTATGGTCATAGATATGAGAAAGATTTGATAAAGAAAAGAACCAACTAAAAGTCAAATACAGAACAGTATGATCACTTACTGCAGTACTTGTTTGATAACTAAGAATCCAGTAAAAGCCTCAGACTGATAATGAAGAATTCAGTGAAAGCTTCACATAGAATTGTACGATCACAAAATACAGTAGTCTACTTCAATGTATTTGTTATAAATATGTTGAATTATTTAAGTGTAAGGTATTTAAAGTTTTTGTAATGTAAAACACTGGAATGTCACTAATATTCTTTCTGGCAAACACTGTGCACGACACTGGATGAGTGAAAATTATATACAGAAATGCAGACTCTTTAAATCAGCTTAATTTTGTTCAAACTTCTTAAAACAGAAATATGATATCGCAGCAATGCTAGTATCTGAGATATAACAGCAGATACCTTATTCATCTGTCTTTTGTATTAGGCGTGTAGTGGTGAAATCAAAGTAATCTAGAAGTAATATTTGTGTAGTTTAACTACAATATTAGACAAGTTGTGGTGAGATCATAGTAATCAAGAAGCAGTATTTATATGGTTTAACTACATAATTAGACAAGTTGTGGTGAGATCATAGTAATCTAGAAGCAGTATGTGTATGGTTTAACTACATAATTAGACAAGTTGTGGCGAGATCATAGTAATCTAGAAGCAGTATGTGTATGGTTTAACTACATAATTAGACAAGTTGTGGCGAGATCATAGTAATCTAGA